AAATGTTGCGCGTGGAGACTAGTACGCGATTCGTGCAATGCATGCAGACATGTAAGGGCAACATGACATCATAGATGGAGTTTGCATAGCACTTGTTTGGTGGAAGTAGTTGTGCACAATCGCTTGTGAGTGGGAAGATGTGCACGACATTGCACAGAAAGAGCATGTGCACTGGAGCGTAAATGTTAGTTTTTGAAAGGGATAAACTTCAAAATAATCCCTGGTTATTCATAATTAGCTAATTTAGTTCTAGAATATCATATTGCTCCAATTTAGTTCCTCAACTATATAAAATTGATCCAAAAATATTCTTTTAGGACTAAATCAGGATCAATTTTGTTTGCTCGAGGGATTAGATTGTGATCAATTTTATATCATAATTATAATATGAGGGACTATTTTAGATCATTTTTTGTTTTTTGAAAAGCTGAAATTGTATGGATAAATAGTAAATTTAATATTTTGTTAAAATAATAGTTTGAAAAATAATAGGAAATGATGAAATTGCATAATAGGGATGTATTTGACAAAACCATTTATGATTTGAATGGAAATGGCATCCCGGATGCGATGGTAATATTTATATTTGTAATTTTGAATATTTAAGAATATGTATATTTATTTGACTATTTTAAGCTAAAGTAATTATTTAGAAGATGCATTAGCAAAATTTTGACAAACGTATATCCTTTTTTTTTTTTAACTTGCACTAAGAAACTTTAAATATATTTTAAGATATAAAAAAAATTTTAGGGGCTTAAAACATAATTTTGGTGGTTGTGAGCAAGCAATCAAAATGCAAATTTACAATCTAATAACCTCAAAAACTCAAATGAAATAATTTAACCTTAAAACTTGTTTCTTGATCTAATGCAACATTCTTGATGTGTTTGAACTTGTTCTAAGGTTTCCATAAACTTCAAGCATTTCTTCATTGTTTATAAAGTTTTGAATGATAAATTGTATCTAATTTGACCTAATCTTCCTGAAAAAACTTATAAAAACATAAGCAATTTTCATACATGTATTTGTTATCATCAAAATCAAATTAATATTATTATAGGCTCATGGAGTCAACAATAATAACTCAAAAACATTACACATTGAAACTTGGTTCTGCGAGCTTTAGAGGTCATACAATGTTGCTGCTGACCATTTTCATCAGAAAATTGAATGGATACGCACCTGAATTTACTTTCCTCTTGTTTGGGAATGATTTTTTGGTTCCATTTAACAGGTGATGGGTTATCTCTCGAGTTCCTCTCCTCACATCATGAGTGGAGCAGTTTCTGCACTTTCGCTGCTGATATACCAAGATGCTGCCTTTTGCCTCTCTGTGCCCAACCTGATACCTTCAGTTTTACTTTTGCTTCAAAACAAAGCAAACGAAGTTATAAAAGTGAGTTATCTTATTATTTACTGTTTTTTATTCTATTAATTTCGCATGTTCTTATGTGTGTTGTCAACATTGAGCAGGCAACTCTTGGTTTCATTAAAGTTCTAGTGTCCTCCTTAACTCGCAATGACTTGAGGAAGCTCTTACCTGAAATTCTCCAAGGAGTGTTGCCTTGGTCGTTAGTCTCAAAATATCATTTTAGATCAAAGGTACTTACTGTAATCTCTTGTATTCCTATTGACTTTTCTTTTGTCCATTTTTCCTAGCTCCCATATGCTCATTTTAGGAAATGCCTAGCATATCAGGTCAGTATCATCCTTGAGATCTTGATCAGAAAGTGCAGTTCGGAAGTTGTTGAAAACCAAACACCTGACAAGTATAAAGGCTTTGTTAAGTCCATTACAAAGGTAATGTGAAAGACTATCTTTAAAGCGATTAATCAGACTGGTAAAGCTTGTATGGAAGATTGAAAGTTTATTATTACTTGTACCATATTTATTGCTCCCTTGAGCTTATCGTAACATGCCATCCAGCATCACCAGTTTTTTATGTTTTAAATTTAAGTTGTCCCTTGGGATTCCAAAAGCGGTTGTTTGTTTTCTCTTGCCTTGGCTCCTTGGCTTCCACGGGTTGGCTGCTTGTATGCCTTGGCTCCTTGGTTCCCACGGTGGGCTGCTGGTTTTCTGAGCTCGGGGCCTTTCCGTGTCTGTTGGCACCTCGGTTCTGTGCGGGCCTCTTTGGTTCCTGTGGCTGCTTATTCGGTTCCCTGGCCGGGCTGTTTTCCCGTGCAAAGCAGGGGGCTTTTCCGTGGCTTGTGATGTTTGGATTCCTATCGGAATTCAATTTGTGTGGCTGTTTGTATTCCCCCTTTCACACCTACAAATATGAGGGGTTATGTAATATTTTAAAAAGAGTGATATATGAATTTTTGAAAAAAAAAATCCTTGGGTTTTTCTTGGAGAAGCTTGCGAGCTTTGTCCACCTTCTTCTTCCACCTCTTTGGAAATCTTGCGAGCTCTTTCCACCCTTCTTCTCGGCTTCTAATCTCTTTTGTCTCTCCGCAAGTGACCACCTCATATGTATCCTTCTTCTTTAAGTAAAGCAAGTTTAGGGTGTCCTTTATTAGAGTCAAGTTTAAGAAGAGTTCAAAGTTTTTAAGTCGTTGTTTGTTAAGTCTTTTTGATTTCTAATTCTTTTATTTAAATGTAAGAGTTTGTTCATTTAATTACGTAGGAGTCCTTTTCTTTTATCTAGTCAAGGCCGGTTTACCCTATTTTTGTGGGCGGAGGTTCTCGGGTCCCCCATCCCCCGGATTCTTGCCCGCATCAATTTAGCTGAAGTGATTTTGAACAATTGACAAAATTTTGTTTATTTTACATTTTACGTTATGGATATACTCAAAAAACAGCACTATCAGAGGATGGGCTTACATCACTCGGAAATTGTGACGATGTGGGCTAAGTTTTCTAAGAATGTGGTTGATATGAATATTTGCACTGCCCTGGGTTAGGGACGTAGTGAGCTTGTTCATACAGAAGAGCTGTCCTTCTGAGTTCAGTTTAGAGTGGAGGCATGTTTTCCAACGGCCATTGAGGGTTACTTCTATAATGGTTGCTTTAGGTTCCTTTGACCTGGGGCATACTCTTTTAAATATGGGCTTTATTCGGAGCATTATTAGAGACCATCTTCTCTTTCCTCAAGCCTATCCATCAAAGTTTTGAAGTAAATTTTGGCATAGGTACCAAGCAAAAAGACGTTGAAATGTTTCTTTGCTATAGGTGAAACGAGTAGGTTTCCCCTTATGATATTGTGTAATTTTGCACATAGAAAAACAGCCTCTGTTTTGCATTTTTTTTTCTATGTTCCATATGATTTTTCTATTGTCAATTGTCAAGCTAGACTCCAAATTCATGGATACCATAGTTCCATAGTTTCTTTTAGGGTTTACCCCTGACCATGTAATGGATCATCTTTGTATTTACAGGGACGAGCGAACCGGAAACTTGATAAAGAAGCTAACACCGCCGACTCCACAGAAAGATCGGTTGACTTGAAAACAAAGGGGTTGAAAACTACTCAAATCTAACTATTTCTCGCTTGAAAATCTATTTCCTTAATCCAGTTATCATATTATGATTGTCTTAAACTTGCAGAGGGAAGAAAAGGCTACGTGATAATGTTCCAAATCCACCCGAGAAACCTTCAAAGGATAATTCAAGTAGTTCACGCAAGAAAACATGGCATAAACCGCAAAATGGCTTCTCCAACAGTAAGAATTCCAGTAAAATGATGTCTAAAGGTTTCAGAAGTCGATCAAACAGTGCCGGTCGTTCAAATTCACACAGTCAAAATAAGGCATGGACGAGAAATGTAAGTACCAATCATAAGAGGAAATACCCAGAAAAGCAAAATATCAATGGAGTTGATACTAGAATAAAAAAGCAGAGGCAGTCCCTGAATGTTGCAAGTGATGAGAAACCTAAGTTAGACAAATTGTCTGTAGCTTCAAAATCACTTGCTTCTTCAAGGTTCAATAAGCACAGGAGAAGATCTAGCTAGAGGTAATAAGCAAGTTTTATAGGACAAAACTCTTTTACTGATACTTGGCATCTGGGAAAGGAGATATTTCACACGAAAAGAAAGCCGATTAAGTTCTGGGAGCAAGCATTTTCTTGCAAGATAGAAGCAGCAGCCCTTGGATGGAAAAACAGGGAGCATCCAGAAAGTATTGGTAACAGAGTTTTTTTTTTTTTTTTTTTTTTTTGAGAGGCCTATTTATGTATTTATTTATTTTGAATTATGCCGGTAACTTAACACAGAAGTTGAGCATTGGATCCGTGTATCAAAAAAAACGTTGCAAATTTTGTGTAATGTTGCTTCGGATATTTTTATTTATAAAAAAGCCTTGATAGTTTTACTTGGACCGGTGACTGTTCTTTTAGCCAAACAATTTGGATGGATCTTTTCAGCTTTCTGCTTATTTTCAGCAAGCAATGGATGGCTTGGAAAGGAGATTATTTTGTGCGGACGTCGGATGCAGCTTTATGTTCGATTGCTGCAGTATTGAGCGGTATCGAGTTGCGGTACCGAACAGTATCGAGCCCTGGTGCAGTAAAAGAGTAACGTGATGCATTCTGATTGTTCTTCAGATGGCATTCTGCACAAAAATTTTTCCTAAGGACTATGCATTGGTTGTGATTTCGACGGAAAAAAATCATGTCTTGCTGAACAAATATGAATGTGCTAATCCTAATTCAGTAAGCCAATGAAAGTTTAAGGTGTGCTGTCAAGTTCTCAAAAAATAGCCAATCAACATGAAAGAGATGCAGTGCTGTGGCGGTTGATAAGTTATTTTGGCGTGTTGTTATCCTGAGGATTAGCAATTTAATTGGAAATTGGCGTTAATCCATTAGGCCAAGGTGGCTTCCTTTTGTCTTTATATAGATAAGTTTTGGTTCGCACAGTATCATTTGACTCGTCTAAACCACTTGGATTTTAGCTAGTTTTGGATTGGGTGAGTTAGGGCCATGGGCTAGCTAGCCATGAGTTTGGAGATTAATCTATGTCCAATTGAGTCCGCCTATGGATCATTTAACTAATTTGGTAAGTCTAGGTCAAGCTCATCTTGATTGGGTCAAGCCTAATTCAATGTAGGTTAGCGTTGAGCCATCTAATATAAGAGAAATTATTACGTACGATCATCAGATCGTTTGTAGGCCAATTAAGATGTGTCACATCACTCGGTACACAACATTGATACACAACAAAGTGGTGATGTGGTGTGTTCTGATTCGTCTCTGAATGATGTCCGGTGACTGCACGTGATAATTTCTCCTAATCTAAGGCCTCTTAAAATGCTACATAGAATTATTAAGTTATGCTAAATCAAGTATATGAATAGTTTAGTTAATAGTTTAGTCCCAAACCTAAGTCTTGATAGTAATAAACTTGATTGAAGCTAACAAATTGCATTAAAATCAAGACTGACTACTAAACCATTAGTTAGTCCTCAAAACTTTAGTTGTTCCTGAATTCTTTTAGTTGGGCTTAAACTTAGATTGAATCTTGGTTAGCCTCGGCAGCCTTAAAGTTGACTTAGGTTTGTTTATCTTTCTTTTGATATTTAGTAGTCAATTGGCTTGTTGGGGTCTATTTGTTCACCTCTTTTTTCACCTTTTAATATTACATTTAAATCCTAGCCCTACTTATAGCCACCATGGCCTTCAGTAAAAATCCCGCACTCCTACTAACGCATCAGTGCACTCTCTTCTTTCATGTTATGACCAAGTACATGGATTGGTTTGGTCAATAGTTAAACGAGTCCCAAACTAATTCTTGAGAGTAATAATCTTGATTGGAACTTAGGGCATCTCCAACCGAAAAATCTATTTTCCACTCTAAAATGTAGCAAAATTTTAAAATGATATGATTAATCTCCAATCGAATTGCTTTTATTTCTTCTTTCGCTTGCTTCCTGTGAAGGTAACAATCACTCTCCTCTTTCGTGCGTTTTTTTTCCTCTTTCGTTTCCGACTTCGACAAATTCGGCAACCCAATTTTTTGGCGTAGGTGAACAATCTGATGTCAATATTGACGTCGCATTGTTCACCTAATGAATTTTGTCTTGAGATTTGGAGTTCGCATGCAACGAATGACGTACGACATATGGTGGTATGCAGTTTGGTTGGAGATGATCTCACTAAATGCGCTAAACCCAAGACTACCTAGTAAACCATCTGTAACACATTTTATTCTCTTACACTTAACAAATAAAACCACAACACTTCTTTCTAATGGGCTAAGCAATCTCACAATCCTAATTGTAAGATTAAATATCTTTATGAACTTCTCTTGAGGTTTTAATGGTGTTCAAGGAGAATAACAAAAATCATGTATGCAATCTCTATGAATGATTATTAAATATATAATAAGAATAACTTACAAAACCATCTAAAGAGAAATCATCTAAATTGATAGAACAAGGAACAATATATTGACAAAGACTTTCGATTTTCTTCAATAAAACTCTCGAAATGATGCGAATGGTAAATAAAAGCTTTAAAAATATTGTAAGTAATCTTTCAAAACTATTCCATTGACTATATTTAGTGGTTGTTATGGATCATTCAGTTTGCACAAAAGCCTTATTTACATATTAGATGTCTCAACTTTGCTGTGTTATCATGCATAAGACTTGAAAATTCTAGTAAAATAGAAATAAAGCATAATTAGAAAATTTAACAAAAATATTAAACATTAAGGATTAAATAAATATGGTAGAATATATGTGATCAAAATCATAAATACGAATAAATCAATCACATCATTACTAATTATAGAATCACTAAACAAAAATTTGCACATTATTAATTATTAAGAGAAAAAATGAATAGAAAATCAAGCCAAATAAATTATAAAAATTACAAACTAACTTTATAATATCTAAAATGTATTTTAATTAGATATAGATAAAATAAAATCACTTTTACTTTTGTGTTCATCATCTTTGAGACCTTAGTTAATCCTATTAAGATATCCAATACCATCCTAAACATACTCATTAGACTGTTAAACCTTGGTCTTTTGACCTTAATGATTTCATCTATTCATGTAATATCTAAGTTGTAAGTGCACCAAATATATTCCCTGTAACTCAAAGCTCCTAAAGCTCAATACAAATCCAAACGCAAAAGTAAGCTTCTATTATTATTTTTGCTATTAGCTTGAATCAACGTGCTTAATATTGTTGATATTTCTATTAACTAATGTTATTAACTATTATTATTGTCGTTAATTATATATATGTATGTGTATACATTTATATATGTATATGCAAAAAAAAAAAGAGAAGCTTGAAAAAGAAAAAGAGAGAGAAGGAGAAGGAGAAAAACAGAAAAAAGAGAGGAATTTCAAAAATAAAAAAGAGGGAGGGAGATTTTGTTGTGCATTTTTCTTTCATTGTCACCCATGCGAAGGTATAAACGATTTCTAAAACTCAAAGCTTCCAAATTTCCATTCTCGGCGCGCACTTGTTGCCCAATGAGCAATCAGCTATGCACGCTTTTCTTAACGCGGTGGGAGAGAACTCGTTGTGATGCTTGCGGCGAGGCGGGCAAGCCTTGTGCACGCTTTTCTTAACTTGACAGTGACACTTTTAAGTACCAATAGACACCTAAATGCCTGCTGGAAAAAACTACGTTTTCAAACAGGTTCCCTGAAAACTTATGTACACCTTTCTTGTCGTGGTAGGATTGAAGACTATGGCCGCGATGTCAACCAAAATTGATCTTTCACGGCTTTTTTGTCGTGGAAGGCAGGCTAGGACTCCTGAATTTTTTTCTAAACATGGGAGACGCCAGCAGGAGACTATCAAAATTCACAGTGAAGCACAACAGTGGATTAAATTTGAATGAAAAATGAACAATGGGGACTATATTTAGACTTGAACTTGTACATTGAATGACAAAGAACTTGAACTCAACATGATCTCAGGGAATATAACTTGTACATTTAATGCTCATACAAACATAATAACCTATTTGTAAGAGAGAGACGTGTAATGAACACACCAATGGGGGGAAAGAATGAATGCAGTTTATGTCATAAGTTATTCATGAATAGAGTGTAGAAGATGCACATTGAATAAGACATTCTACAATAGATATTAATACATGATCAAGCAGATTATACCCCACAAGCGGTAAAGATCAACATACAATGAATCGTTAATCAAGGTGCATTTGGAAGGTTTGAAGTAAATACAACTTGCATATAGCCAGTATCTCCAAATCACACTTAATGATGATTCAATTTCAAGAAAACACATCAATTCTTCTGCAAATAGAGGACCCAATGATTCACTAGCCAACATGTGTGAAAGAATGTGCAAAATCTTTTGGATAATGATACAAACTAAATATGGATGAAGACGATTGGTGTGTAATATTTGTATAAGTCATGCAAAAAATACGATAATCCTTGCAAACAACATAGTCTCTTGCCAATATATTTAGTGCAACATATGATGAATATTAGGACACTCCTACAATCAACAATAGTTCAGTGGTAAATAATCACATTAACACCCTGCAAGCAATAATTATAAGTATGTCACAAAGGTGGTTGTTCTCCTGTGAACATGGATATACACAAAATATGTTTGTGGGCAGAAGCCATATATTTGCAATACATGCCAACACCTGTGGGTTGTTGCAACACAAGGCATTGAATACTACGACATCTTCACAATTAATGACCACTTAGTGTCAATTAAATACACCAGTCTCTTGTAAGCAAGGATAGTCGATATGAAACAAATGCAAGTACATGCGACCCGTCACATGAACACCATATTATTTGTAAGCAAATGTAGGAAGAACTGTGGTAGATGCAAACACTTGTTGGCAATAACGACAAATGCAGCAACTTGCCGGCTAACATACATGGGAAATTCAGTGGTGAGTGTAGTACACTTAGTACACATACCACATAACAACTACGAGGAAGAATAAAAAATCTACAATAAATACAAGCATCTACAAACATGTGTAAGAGACTTATTAGTGCACAACAGTCTACCTGTATGAAACAATGAGCAAATGACCATAGTGCAACACCACATCACCTAATCCGTAGCATTTCTATAAGTGAACAGAAGGCTTCCACAAGTTTCCAAATAAAACACTACGCACATTCAAATGATGGTTGTCTGCATAGCCTGATCATCATCAAATATTTCATAAATATTCTCACATATGCACTGCAACATGTATACATACAAATATGAAATTACATATGCAAGCATATTAACATGCATTTATGTAAGAATATACACCCACATGTACCCCAATGAGCGTGTTGATGGTACACACTTGACATTTGAGGATGCTCCGCCGGACAAGAAATGAACTTAAATTCAAGTCC